TTGTTTTTTTAAGAACACAGAAAATAAACCGTGACGATTAACAAGATTGTTAATCACAGAAGGATTTTATCAATCAGCGATCCGAAGCGTTAAAACCGAAAGACGAAAAATTACAGAAACATCTTTAGCTTGGAAGGAGTCTCGATTAAGCGTACCAGCCGGACAAACCGCGGCGGCTAACGAGCGCTGGAGGCTCGTTGTTTCTCCAAACGAGCGTAGCAACGAGAGAACGTAAGATGCCTTTGTAATTCAGTTTATCCTCGCTCGGGGCCCTCCCTTTGTCCCGGCATTTTTAATTCCCCGTCGCGAAAACGCGGCGTTCTCCTCCGCTGAACATGGAAATTCCCAACGAAAAAGGGGGTAAAAAGTCACGAGAAAGAGAAAGAACATGTACATGTACACGTGGTATAACAAGAAAGGAGGAAAAGCAAAGCAGAAAGGAAGATGATGAAAATTGCGGAAGAAAAACAGGGATGTAGAGAGAAGAACCGAACGATTTAATAATAATTGCATTCGATGTTCTTTTCTATCGAGGCCGGATTGAAAAAGTCTCTTCTGTTTGCGAGAAGGAAACGGACGCTCTGTGAAATTTCATATTCCGCTTCTACGCGGAGCAAAATTCCCGGGGAATGTGAATTTCAATTTTCTTGTCCAGCGCAGAGGGCAAGTTTTTCACCCTGCAGGATTTTGTAACAGGGGGAAAAGAGCCTTCGTTCGTGGTTGAATTATCCTTTAGGAGACAGAGGAAGAGGAGGTTCTCGTTTGCTCTTCGGTATTATTATTGTTAGGCTCGTCGTTTCCTCGGAAAGTTCTGTCGTTTTCCTCGAGCCGTCTTTATCCGGGTCATTAACGTCGTTCGAAACCTTTCTTTTGAATTCCCAGTTGGTCTGACTTTTATTACCCTAACCTGAAGTATGCAAATAAGCTGAAGTTTAACAGCGAAGATGTCAGAAGGTGCGATTATACTGACTACTTGAGAATTTCAAATAAACGTATTCAAATGTTGAAACTGAAATATTCAAATTCAAATGTCCCAATTCAAGTATTCAAATTCAAACTTTGCAATTTAAACTTTAAATTGAAATATTCAAATCGAAACACTTAATTTCAAATACTGAAATTGAAATGTTCCAACTGAGGTATTCAAATTCAGGCATTCAAATTGAAATATTCATATTCAAATGTTTAAATTTAAATACCGAATCTGAAATATTGAAATTTAAATGTTCAAATCTAAATTTTACGCACAAATTTCAATGAAACCACACGTCACTGTTAAATTCGGATAAAAATTTCCCTAGAACTATAATTTTAATTTCAACGTAAAATCCAACCGTAACACCCAAATCCAGTTTCACACCTGACTATGAGTTCTAACTGAAAATAAATCTTTATCACTCCGTTCCAACGTTCAAACTTAACTCGAGCGACCAATAACACTAACAATAAAACTCTGGAAATTACTCGAATGAACCAACGAACGATAAAATCTCGACAAACAAGAGCCTGAAGTCTAAAACGTCTACACACGCATCAGCATGAAATAAAAATTTCTCTCGTCACTGTTGAAAAAAATAAAAACCATCGAAAAACCGCGAGAAATCCCCCGAAACATCAGTTTCCATTCGTTGAAACGGAAGTTCGCGAGGAATCCAGCGACGTTTCCAGAATTAAACAGCTTAGCATAGAAAAACACGGGAGTTTATGGCTAGTACGCAGCCAGCAGAAGTCCTAAACGGGATTTTCGTCGAGAGCGGAACGGAAATTTTCGGTCCGCGACGATTTATCGAGGCTTACTACTTTTTTTCTCTAACGAATGGTCCAACAACTTCCAATCGGTGGCGGCACGATTATTACTCGTTATTCTTTCCTTAATCCGAACTCCGTTTGGGCCACAATTCGGATTTTGCCGCGGTATTTGCAAGAGTCTGTGGTATATGAACGTGGTGGCTTAAGTGGAGTTTCAAACGGTCCTCGTTTTGTTCCTTCAGCTTATTTTTTTTTTTTTTTCCAACAGATTTGTACTTCAAATATTTTTCGGGAAATTTTGTCCAATGACGACGATGGCGAATAATTGATTAAGTGTGTTACTGATAGACTGTGTAAAGTATTTCTTTTTTTTTGTTATGATTGTTTGCAAATTGTTTCGGAGAAAATTGAATTACCGAAGAAAATTTTTTGTGGAAGATTATAGTTATTGGAGGGTAAAAGTTTGAATTATAGAAGCAATTTGTAATTTTTTAAATTTTTCTACCTAATTTTTGGAACTCTACACTTTTTCTGGAAGATTACCTAAGATTTGCCTAACAGGCAAATTAGGCTAGCCTAATGCGGACCTAATGTCTGTCTAACTGAAATTTCTAGTCGGGTAATAAACTTCGCGATTCGTTTAATCACGTGTCAGACACGTTTTCTGCAAATCTATTATGCAACCACGAAGAAGAATCATATTTCCACAATCTACAAAGCCCCCAAGGATAAGAAGAAGAAAAAAAAGAAAAGAAAACACTGATAAAATACGCCTTTGCAGTGTCGATTGTAACAATCCGCGATTAAATTCACCAGCGACACAATATCCCCCTTGAAAAAAGCAAACCGACGTGAAAGAAACGGAGGGAAAACCGACGAACAACTCGACGGTAGTAATCGCGGAAAGTTTTAATGGCACGGGGCGCGTGAGCAACAGAGTCCGGCATGAAATATGCAAAGGCGTAGCAACGTATTGGAAAGCGTCACATAATCGTCGTAGTTGACGCCATTGTTCTGGCCACAATACCATCGTATACAAAATACGATCCTGATAAAAGTCGTCACAGAAACGTCGCGGCGTGGCTCATGAATTTTTCGCCACGATTTACGTGACAAAGCGGACCACTAACTAAAAACAGAAATATATACAGGGTGTCCCTGAACTGCCGGTAAAACAGGAAAAGGGAGTGACGAATCTGCGTGGTAAAATAAGTCTCGAAAATGTGGAGTAATATTTTTTTTTCTTCTTTCAACTGTCACGACCGTTGAATAAACACAGGATTAGGTCGGTGAAATTAGGTTACGTATACAGGGTGTTGTTGAAAAACGTTTGGGCCAAATTTCAGAAGTACAGCGGGTGATCTACAAGAAACACACGGTTTTCCGTTGTGACGATTAATTTTCAGATGAAAACCTAGTTATACCGAATTCTTCTTAATTTTTTTACCAAGCGTTGATGTTTACGAATTGCAAATACACACTTGGCCACACTTTAGGCGATACTATCTGTCGTATGGACGTTACTTTGTGTCGGTACTGCAAATCGCCACTTGAGAACCACGTGTTACAGTTTTATCGGTTTATAGACCTTGAGCATTTGAATTTTCGTTGCTGTGTTTTTGCTACTTACAACGCACAGTAAATTACTTCAAATGTATCGAAAAAGGAATCAAGGTAGCGCTACTTTTCAAGCGGTATTTTTCATAACTACATGAGCTAGGCTTAACTGTTTTGTGTATCCTTAGCGTATCCTTAATTAAAAATTATCCAGTGTGGAAACCTTGATATCGTGATTTTATTTCTACACAAACACAAAAAAAACATATTTGACATACTGTGGCTCTAATAATTTGATCATATTCACGGCATACTCCTCCGAGTCACGTAGAAAAATTTGTGTGATTTTATCATCGATCGAAAAGTCTTGTTTGCAAATGTGGGGACATCCATCGGTCCCGAAGTTCAAAGGTTTCGTTTACCTAATTCCAAAATGGTTAACTCCATTTTTTGATATTCTTGCAATTTTAGTATCGAAGCACGTGTTTGGTGCTTAATTTTTCACAAATTTAACAAACTTTATTTTGTGGAGTTAGTCACTTTGGCTTCTGAGTGGTTCATATCATAGCCACCGATATGCCACTGACTTCGCTAAGCAACGCATGACATTCCGGATCTCGTTGCGTATCGTATCTAGATTACAAGACGATCGATAGTTGTTACATCCCATTACATCCCATAAAAACAGCTAATCTTTCATTGATTAAGATTATATTTCGAGATAACATTTCGACAAGATCAAGATAAAGTTGAAGAAAATAAAAGAGGATGTACTAGCTGAAGAAATCCACGTAAATATCACTTTCTTTTAATTGTTGATTGGAAAAATATCGAGAGCAGAATTTGAATGGTTTCGAAGAAGGAATGCTGTGGAAGAAAACTCTTTTCAGATCATTTTTTTTTTTAGATAGAGCGACGAACTTCAAAACACTGGCGCAAAAGTAAATTCATCCAGTAACTATTCCTTTCAGTACTGTAGTATTAAAAAATTAATTCGTTACCAGAATGCATTTTCAAAATTCGAAGACTGAATTTTGAAAACATTGGCAGAGTTCTAGTTCAGACGATAAAGCAACATCTACTGAATATACCTGACAAATTTCGAGTGAATCGGGCTTCTGGTTTTTTGGCAATCATGTCAGACAGTTTGAAAAATGCTGTTTCGAGAAAAACGCGTTTAAAGTTTTAATTACAGTTTAAGACTATATAAAACCGCTTCCTTCGAAGGCATATACCTCTGACAATTTTCAGAATTAAGCTTTAAAACTTCCTGGACATATTTTCGACATGTCGAACTATAAGAAAATGCAAAAAAAAAAAAAAATTGATTTTTTTCGACCTGTCACAGTAGGAGACCCCTTGAGTCAAAGAAAAAAAAAGGCGGAAATATACAACGGCCTGAAGGGAAAGTTCAAAATGGGGCGCATGCGACACACGCAACAGTGAACGTGTTGATACTTCATTTTTCAGTATGAAATCTGAAAATAGTTAATTAAAGTTGTTGATAAAAATAGTTAATAAAAGTTAATTAAATGGCAAAAGGAATTATTGGAAACGATTAATTACAAAGGAGATTGTGAGATCGATAAAAATAATTGCACAACATTTATCTTGATAAAATACATTTTTATGTAACGTTTGATAAATGAGATATAAGGAGACGAGAGTCAAATATCCATACTTCAGTTCGCATCTATAAATATAGAGTGTTGTGGTACACGTTTCACAGTCGATTTATTGTCGACAAACGTGTAAAGAACAGGTAAACATCGAGGCAAGAATTTATCGTAGAAAGATGTACAACTCGGTGAAAGGTGAAATGTTAATTGTGTTGGTGATCGCAATGGCTATCGGAGGCTATTCGAAAGCGGTAGGTCCAAATACAGAAGAAATCGATGTCCCACCGATGCCGAAACATCAAGGCATATTCAACGAGAACTCTGAGTATAGTTCCATAGGTATGAGATTGTAAATTGATATTGGGTTAGCAACTAATAATTACATTTGTTTAAACAAAATTGACCAAATAACATTTTTCGATTAACCCTATCGCTGCGACAGATTTCAGTATGTGACGCATGTGGCAGATAATAGTTGTTCAATCGCGACCGTGAAATCTTTCGTTTCGGCGTTTTGAAATCATTGGATTAAAATTTTGAAATTAAAATTCAAAATTTATATTTTTATATTTATCGTTTTACAAATTAAGGCGAAAGTACGCGGGGCACGAGGATCAAGGCTTGAATTAAGGTGAAAGGGTGCCGAAAAGCGCGAAACAGCACAGTACGAGAAAATATTCAAACCGACTATAGGCGCGAAGGGCACAGTTCGAGAAAATGTTCAAACAGACTATAGGCGCCAAGGACACAGTGCGAGAAAATGTTCAAACAGACTATAGGCGCGAAGGACACAGTGCGAGAAAATATTCAAGCAGACTATAGGCGCCAAGGACACAGTGCGAGAAAATATTCAAACAGACTATAGGTGCGAAGGACACAGTGCGAGAAAATATTCAAACCGACTATAGGCGCGAAGGACACAATGCGAGAAAATATTCAAACAGACTATAGGCGCCAAGGACACAGTGCGAGAAAATATTCAAACA